TCCCCAATCTGCCTAGGTGTTCCCACTGTCACCGCCAGGTGGGGACATTAAACAGCTCTGTGCTGGGCATCCACATCCCTGTCCCCAATCAGCCTAGGTGTTCCCACTGTCACCACCTGGTGGGGACATTAAACAGCTCTGTGCTGGGCACCCACATCCCTGTGCACTTCCCTAACCCTGACTGTGTCCGTACAGAATCCGCTGTGGCTGACACAGGACAGTGACACCCAATGCTGGGAGCCGCTGTAAGTCCCAGTGGTCGTTGGATTCGCACAGGAAGGAACTCAGGAGCAGCTGCCCGCGCAGAGTGAAGTGAGACGTTAGCCTCGGAGCCCAGACGGAGACTCAGAAGCCTCCCGTGAGGGCAAATGCTGTTTATTTCCCAGCTCTGGGTGCGGATGTGGGAGCCTGAAAAAGGCGTCCACATGAGAAAAGGGAAGAGCCTTGGGTTTCATAGAAGGCTTTCCTGGGAGGAGAAAGTACATTCTTTTCAAACAACCAGGAGGGATGAGCGTCCTCCTTTCTGAGGGAGGAGGAAGTGAGCGCCCTTAGCTCCCTGGGGTCCGGCAAACGCTCCCTGCCTAGCACGGCCCTGGCACGGGGACAGCGGTGGGCTTGAGAGGAGGTTTGGGTGGAAGACGGGGAGGGGGGGTTCCGTAAGCCCAGCAGAGATCTGCTCAGAAACGCGGGGAGCCTGAGCCGGGTTCCTCCAGGGCCTCTATCTTTTTTTTTTTTTTTTTTGAGACAGAGTCTCGCTTTGTTGCCCAGGCTAGAGTGAGTGCCGTGGCGTCAGCCTAGCTCACAGCAACCTCAAACTCCTGGGCTCGAGTGATCCTTCTGCCTCAGCCTCCCGGGTAGCTGGGACTACAGGCATGGGCCACCATGCCTGGCTAATTTTATATATATATATATCAGTTGGCCAATTAATTTCTTTGTATTTATAGTAAAGACGGGGTCTCCCTGTTGCTCAGGCGTGTTTTGAACTCCTGACCTTGAGCAATCCACCCTCCTCGGCCTCCCAGAGAGCTAGGATTACAAGTGTGAGCCACAGCCCCTGGCCCAGGGCCTCTATTTTATCAGCTTAACTACAGGCTAAACGAGGGGAGAAATATTCATGTCATTTCTTGGAAAGGGCAGGTGTTTTCCTGGAATCAGTGTGACTGTCTCCTTTCTGTGGAACAGGAAGTGTCCTGGGGTCAGGCAGGAAGTGGGGGGTTTCCTTCAAAAGCTTAAGGAAGCTGTGAGGGCCAGAGCGGCCCATTTCTCCAGATTTTCATTGTAAACAATTGGAAGTTGTCCTGCCTCAGGCTGTCTGGTTTCCATCAGGGATGCTCAAACTTTGTTTTGAAACTTCCTGACTCACTTAAACAAAGCCTGCAGAGTCAGCAATGCACAGGACAATGCCCAGAGCAGTGTCTGCCAGTTCCCAGCTCATCCCCAGGGGACCCTCTGATTATGGGTGTGTGTGTGAGGGTCACAGCCATTGGATCCCCCTGTGAGCAGGTGACTAGGAACATCATGATTCTGGTGCACAAGGACAGTGACTTTATGACCATCATTATCATGAATGCCCAGGGTGGGAAACTCTTTCTGGAATCGGGAATATTTCTGCATAGGAAATATTTTAGGCGCTGCAGGCTGCCTGGGAAGTTCAGCACTTTCAGTCCCACCCCCACACATCCTCCAGAAAGGGCAGAGGGGCTGGAGCCTGCGTTGACAAGTCAGGCCTAAATCAGGAAACCTCCAGAAAAGCCCTGAACTACAGGGTTCACAGAGCTTCTGTGCTGAGCAGGTGGGGGTGCCTGGAGGAGGCAGGGCAGCCCCCAGCCTTCCACACTCCTGGGCCCCATGAGTCTTGTCCGTCTGCTACTCCCTGTACCCTCTCTCGTGTGCTTTCTGATAGACCAGGACGCGGAAGGAAACCCCTTTCCTGAGTTTTGAGACAACTGGAGGAGGGGGGTGGGAATCCCTGATTTATAGTTACCTGGTCAGGAGTTCCAGGGACCCAGACTTGTCATTGCAATTTGAAGCAGGGACAGTGTTGAGGGACTCAACCTTTTACCTGTGGGATCTGATGCCAACGCAGGGAGGGAGTGGCTGAACTGAATGGAATCCTAGGTCACCAGGTGGCGTCGAGCAGAACACGGGTCAACGTGGAAAAATTCTGACACGTTTTGGTGCCCAGGACGTTGAGTGAGCGAGCAGCAGGCAGCTGGGTTTCCCACGTGACGCAGAGCCTCAGACAGCTGCCCCCAGGGGGTGGCGGGACTGGCAGGCAGGCACAGCAGCCAGAGGACAGCAGGGCTCCTTCATGAGGAGTCCCTGATGGGGGACGTGAGCCTGGGACCAGGGGCCGAGTGGCGTGAACGCTGCGCACAGCCGAGCCCTGCCCAGCGCGGTGGCACTCACAGCGGCCCCCTCACACACTGGCTTGGGGACAGGGCGGGAAGCAGCGGGGGCAGCGCCACACTGGAGGCCCAGAGGGGCAAGAGCGGCTCGCCAGGAGGAGGAGGAGGCCTCGGGGCAGCCGGAGCACGGCCAGGGGACAGTGTTGAGGGACACAGAGGTTGTTGGGTCCAATCCTGCAGGTGGCCAGTAAGATGAGGTCAGAGACAGAAGCTCTGGGCTTGGCGACAGGTAGGGCGTGGGGACCTGGGGAGAGCAGCACCGCAGTGGGGGACCTCGGGGAAGGCAGGTGCCAGTGGTGGGCGCTGAGGGGTAGAGACAGGGTCTCCTGCCTCAGTCTCCTGCCCTTTCTGCCACGAGGCTCCGCCTCTGCAGAGATCTGGACTGGGCGTCTGGTTTCTGGTTCTGGTCCTGGCTGTGCCCGGCTGGGCCTATGGCCTTGAGCAAATGTCACTTTCCCTACTCCTCGTTTGCATCTGTCAGCAGCTGGGTGAGCCCAGACCTCCAAGACTTCTTCTGAGTTTTATGTTCATTGCAATTCGGGACTGGGAATGACCAGGCCCTGCGGGTGACAGCTTGTGGGGAGGAGCAGAGGACGCCCCCAGTTGGCAGTGAGCTGTCACCCAGGATGGCCTGAGGTCTCCTCTGGGCTGTGGGTCTAGAACACGGGACTGATAGGACACATGGCAGTATAGGAAGGGGACTGTGTTCCAAAAAGCTCCGTGGTGATTTCAGCAGGGGAGGTGGCAGGTGCCCCGTGTGGAGGAGCACCAGGTGTATGAGAAGGTGCTTCCCCTGGGGTGACTCTTGCTGCAGGAAGTGAGCCATGTCCCCCGAGCCTGAGTTAATTCAAGGTCGGAGATGTCAGGAAGGAGGCTGTGGGAATGGGGTGAGGGTCAGGGTGGGGACGGGAGTCCTGCAAAATGAGGGGCATAAGGGGACGGGGCCGTGTGAAGGTTAAGGTCAGGTGTGAGCTTGACTGGATGGAGGAACACCCAGAGACCTGGTGAAGGGCGTTGCCGGGTGAGCAAGTGAAGGTGAGTCCTGAGCAGAGGACAGTGTGAGTGTCAGTGAGCTGGGGGACAAGATCCACCCTCAGTGTGGCCGGGACCACCCAACCCCCTGGGGTTGTGGGGAGAACACAGAGAAACACAGATGTGTCCATGTCCCTGCTGGAGCTGGGACACTCCCTTCGTCCCTTGTCCTGGGACAGCAGCACCAGGCTCCCCAGCCTGCGGACTCCAGGGCACATACCAGCGGTCCCCTGGGTGCTCAGACTTTGGCCGCAGACTGGGGACAGCATGGGCTTCCCTGGGTCTGAGCCACCACACTTGCACTCAGCCCAGCTGCCAGTATCCCAGGGTGTGTGGGTTGGCAGATGGCCTTTTGGGACTGTCATCCTCCCTCACCTGTGAGCCCATCCCCCTCACATACATCCCTCTCCTCTCTGCCTGTCCCTGTCCCGACCTGCCCAGCCTGTTCCTGTGTCTCTGCCGAGCCCCGACTCACACGGGCAGCAGAGGTGCCAATGTTGAGAGACGTTGGGACAGGGGGACTTGCTCTGCCACCCAGCCCCCAGAGGGTGGTCACAGGGCTCAGCCCACCCAGGGAGCCTGACTCGCTCACATTCTGCTTCAAACAGGTACAGGCAAAGGTGCTGGGAACCAGCTTATTGCACGTCCCGTGTCTATTTGTCACACCCATTTTGATCATCAGAGATTCTAGGGTCTGTCTAGCACTAGCAAATGAAAAGCCACCTGAGTCCATGGAACTTCAGCTTCCTGAGCAGGTGACAGGCTTCAGAGGACCCTGGTCAGAGCAGATGAGGTGCAGGAGGGGACAGACCTGTGACTACAAGACTTTGGGAAGAAACCTGTGAGATCACCTTGGAGGACAAAATATTTGCAACAGTGAAATCACGTTGTGTATTTATTGACCAAATATCCCAATCGAATAAAAACCGCAGACACCCTTGCAGTGTTTCTGCAGCTAAGGAAAGCGGGACAGCGCCAGCACGTGACAGATGATGCTGTGACCTGTCACAGTGTGACCCTGGATGCCAGGTGATCTCCGTGGATAACTTTATTTACACTCTCGTCTGTAAACACACAAGTCATAGACACAGCCCTCTCTCTCTGGAGTGAGACTTACATTTTTCAAGTAGCGCTGTGCAACACTAGCCTCACGCCTGGAGATGTCTGATCCGGACACCCTGGACCTTCCCGAGTTCTGTCCCCCCGTGGCAGCAGCACAGGAAAGGACTGATCGTCTCAGGGGGTGGCCCACTGTCCCCAAAGCTCCTGCACACAGTGTGGGGCCTCGTGACACAGAGGAACCCGTCACTGTCCTCTAATGCCCCACTCGGATGGCGCCTCCCCAGCCAGGCCTGGTCCCCTCTGTCCCCTTCCCTGCCACGCCACTGCCAGAGTGACTCTCACGCAGCTCCGTGCTCCTCCTGTGTGTCCCTCACGCTGCCCCGTGTGCGGGATCCTCCGCCCATGGCGTCCTCTCTCCTGACCCAGGACTTCCTGGAGGGGACAGACTGTGTCACGCTCACCATTGTCCCCCTCCTGCCAGAGAGAGCCTTGACCACATGAAATGCTCACTCGTGTTTATTAAATGCAGCAGTGACTGAAGAGTTAGGGTTAAGCGTCTAGATATTTGTTCCTCCAACCCACGAGCTCACGTGCAGGGGAGCACACGGAGGGTGTCCCCCAAGGCCCCAGGCATGGGTGCCCCACACAGATGCACGTGCCCTAGACAGGCCTCTCTGTTAAAATCCATCTCAAATCCCCATCTTCCGTTGACTAGAGGAGCAGCGCGATCCAGCGGGCTGAGTGCAGAGCGCAGGCTGCACTGGAGCGTGGAGTCGATTATGTGATCAGGTGGGGACATTTCCCTAGGTCGTCACGGCAGGGACAACCAGGGTCCTGGAGGTCCAGAAGGTTAGGCCTTCTTTTGGTCCCCATGAGAGACACCTCTGGAATCTTTAGCCTCTGTTACACAGAGTGCGAGACCTCATTGTATCACTATGCAAACGAGGTGCCACTTGCATGCTCGCTGACGTCCACTCGTCTCTCCTGGACAAACAGACACACGGGAGGGGTGTTAAGGGTGAGGGAGGGGTGGAACTGAGGCCCTGAGACCCCGTGGGGCTCCTCCCATCCTGGGCAGGAAACAAGAACCTGGAGGACCCGCCGGTCTCCACCCTTGGGGGCATCTGTGCACCCTCTGAGGAGCTCCAGGGCTCACCTGTGATACTCAGTGTCTTCTCGGTTGGGGGACGCTGATTCCCTTTGTGGTCTGCATGGAGAGGAGTTGTGGTACATATAGATCAAGCCGCACACGACCAGCACGGCCACAACCACGACCCCACCAACCTAGGAGAGCAGAGGGCGGGGATGGAGGTGAGATGGGGCTCTGGGGGGTGAGGGGCGATGGTGATGTAAGCACAGGACCAGCAGGCTTTGTCTGAGCTCAAAGTGTGGTCTGCGAAGGACCATCTCTGCTTCGGGGGTTGGAGTCCCCTGTCCTCTCTCAGCCTCACCGGGCGGTATGCCACTGGTGTCAATCAGGGTCACGTGTGGGGTGAGAGCCTGGCAGTTTCAACACTCCCTGCCAGCGCTTCCTGAGGGACAGGGCCATCGTGTTTGGGGAAACACCTTGACCGGTGGCTTCAGGTGTGGGAGGCCTGAGGTGGGGTCTGGTGTCACACAGGGAAATGGAGCTGTGCTGTGCAGGCTGGGAATGGGAATTCGAGGGTGCACACAGGCTGCAGAATGAAGAGCGAGACGGTGGCAGGGGACAGAAGGTCCCGAGCGCCATGGCGGCAGGTGCAGCCTGCAGGGAGAGGCTCCTGCCCGAGACCCAGACTCGCCAAGCAGGGCTGGCGACGCCCCAGGGATGGGTGGTTTGCGGGCTGTGATGTGAACCTCCGCCCTCCCGCTGACCCTCTGCAGAGAGCCAGCCACTGAGAGGACCTTCTGGGCTCCTGACAGTGACATTTTGTGGAGGGGAGGAATGGGGACTGTCCCTTTGGCTTGGGAAAAAAGAGTCAGTGAAATGATGCCCACATTGGACTAACTGAGCAGCAGGAGGGACCCAGGAGCAATGCAGGCCTCTGCTTGTTGCCCCCGAGAACCCCCAGGGGCGAGGGGTCTCCCAGAGCAGCTGGGAGGAGAGTTTCCAGAGAATCCTTTTGCATCTGGGGGACAAGGGAAGACCTAGGTACCATTTGGGTTCCAATTATGTGAAATGATAAACATGACAGCATTAAACTTATCAATATTAATAAGCTGCACGGCACCTGGTAGGTAGCAAAGAAAAGTTTGTCAATAATCATTTCTAAAATGGCCTTGTGGGGAGCCAGCCACTCAGGGACTTGTCCCTTTGGAGAGGCGTCTCCTTCCCCCTTTCCTTCTCCCCCCTCAACTGAGCAGCGGTTGTCACACGTCCACTCGGTACCCGAGGCTGAGAGCAGCACCCTGACAGGCACAAGCTGGGAGGGGACAGGTGCAGACCAGAGGAGTGTCACTCCCAGCAGAGGGGTAAGAGCCACAAAAGAGCAAAAAGAGGGTCCCAGGGCCCTGAGGGGAGGGAGGTTTGCTTCTTCCCAGGGGCCTTAGCGAGGGTGGGGTGGGAGCGGCCTCCCTGGCAAAGGGGGGGCAGGATGAAGGAGCCAGAGTCAGTGAGTCCCGGGAGCTCAGAGGACAAGCTGGGCCTTCTGCACTGAGTATGCGGTGCTTTTCCATGGTGTTTTTAAAGAAAATTCCTTTTATACCTAGAACCTTCCAAGGAAGAAGGGTCCCTCAAGCACTGAGATTGTTGCTGTTTGATGGGAAATAATTCCCGCTGTCAGACCCTGGAGCCCCTGCATTCCGGGGTCATCGTGTGCAAAGCAGTGACTAAAGGTCACCCTTCAGGGTCACATGGGCTTCTGAGGCTGGAAGGTGGGGTGTCGGTTGGCATGAGAGGAGGTCTCCGCCAGAGATCAGACCTTGGAGGCTGAGATCACAAGCTGAGTTTCCTGACTGTGGCTCTGTGTGCTGCAGGGCATTGGCTGTGCTGCTGGGGTTCCTCCCAAGTAAAGTCCCACGTTCTTCCTCCCTCCCCCCTCCTCCCTCCTTCCTTTCTCCCCAAATCTCCCAGGCCCTCCCCGGGCACCAACCTCATCATTGGGAAGTTTCTCTGTTTCCCTGCTTGTGCCTGTCCTCAGAGGACAACAAACACCTCCACCCTCATTCCACTTGCCCGTCCTAGTGTTCATGGAAAGTCACCTCTTCTGAGAGCCAACCATTAACTCTCCCCAGAGGCCTAACTGTGCGCTTCCCTAAGAATTCCCGGGTACTGGCCTTGAGCAACTGACTCTGACCCCAAAGGCAGCAGCATGGCCCGTGGAGGGCAGGGCCCGGCGGTTCCTCTGCCATCGGCTGCGGTCCCCTCTGCCCGCCAGCCCACGGAGAACGAGCTGCCCAGGGGCCCTGGGAGGACGGGCTGACCTGCACACAGCGGCCCCTGCGTGTCCTTTGTCACAGCTGCTTCCCTGTCTAGTCCCACAGTCGCCTCAGGAGCCTGAGATGGCCTTTGGGACCCGAGTCCCCATGTCCTCAGCTGCTCGGCTCCTGAATACACCTGCTGTGCCTCACACCCACCCCCTCTCCAGGGGGCTCCTCCGTGTGGCCAGCAGCCCACCCTGCTTTGGGCAGCCATTGACCAGGGTGAGCTGACCTTTGCCCTCCTCCTGACAATGTCCTCCCAGTGAGCACAGCCAAGCAGCACAGACGCCCAACGTTCCTCCTGGTCCTTTCCTGGTCCATTTCCTGGCACTGACTTGGTCAGGCAGCTATGTCCCTGCCTCAGAGACCCCCACGGTCCCCTGACTGGCTCCACCTCCTGTCCCTGCCACTCCACATCCAGCCCGGGCCACGGAGGCCTCCCATGGGCATGTCTGGTCGCGACCTTCCTCGGGACTCGGGGTGCAGGACACCCCTGCGGGCAGCTGCAGGCCCTTCCTCACCGGCCTCCCTCCCCCTTCTCCCCTGACCCCTGCCACCCTCACATCCGGGTCTCTCCCCCGACACCCCACGCCTGAGGGGCTGCCCTGATGGCCCCAGCCTGGCTGAGTGGCCCCTCGCTGGGATGCCCACGTCTCTTGCAGCACCTCCTCTCCTCCACAGGAAACCCAAGACATCCCTCTGGACTCAGAAGGGACATAGCCCCTCCGCCAGGAACTCCTAATCTCTCACAGAAACAGATTTTGCATAAGAACAGAATTTTGATACAACCTTTGAATTAGAAGCTGGCACTAACATGTCCCCAGACTAGGAAACCTTACTGAGTCCTCCCCATGGGGGGTCGTTCCCTTGTAGATTTTCCCTGAAATATCAGGGACTGCTTACCACTACAGGCATCCTGAAGCCTCAGCCGCTGTGTCAGGTGTTCTGTCCCCTGCCTGCAGGGCGTTCTTTTAAAGTCTGGGAACCTCACTTTCAATTTCATTTTCCTCTACTCCCAGTCAATCATTTTCTAACTGAACTTTGAACAACAAAACAAAAAACTCCTGACGGGTGCATGATACATGTAATCACTTGGCCCCTGACACCCAGACAGGAGGGGACTCCCCTGAGTCACCAACCACATACCGGACAGTCCTTCCTGACCTAGGGAAGGGCTGCTTTGAAGCCAGCTCATTGTCCGCTAATTGTCATCTTGATTCCTGAGCAGCTTTTGCTCTGGAAACAAGCAATCGCAGCATCTCGACGACTCAGGACAGAGACTTCTTTCTCACTCACGGAGCATGAGGGCTGGGGCAGTGGAGAGGCCTCTGGGCTCAGCAGCGTTTGTCTTCAGGCAGAGGGGGAAGGTCAGGTCCCCACCTCCTGGGTTACACTCTGGACCCAGGTGAAAGGAATGGCCCCGATCAGGGACATCTCCTCCTGGCAAAGTGCACGGGAGCCCAAGGAGCTGACACCAGCCACGCAAGTCCCTCTGTGAACTCCTGCTCAGCTGTGCTCACAGACGGTGTGCTCACTCCCTTCCACTGGCCAAAGAGATCACACGACCAAGCCACAGGCAATGAGGAACCCTGGTAGGCCCCCAGATAATGGCAGGGACACGTCCTGTATCACCTTGAGGGGCACAGCAGCAGGGGGTGGGCAGGGGAACCAGTCTGAAGCCAGAGACACTTCCCACAGCCATTCAGAACTGAAGCCCCAGAAAATGCTGGGCTGAGGGACAAGGGATGGAGGCTGGGTGGGGACACTGCATCCAGGTGTGTCCACAGGCACAGGCACAGCAGGTGCGCGTCTAGGTGAGGCTCTGGGGGTGTCAGGGGATGCGCCGCCTTCACTGGAAGCCCGTGGCTGCAGGTCACACACTGCACTAGCTGGGGCTCTCCAGAGAAGCAGAACTGTTGGGAGACACGTGCATACATGTGGGGATTAACTGTGCAGAGTGGCTCATGGGACTCAAGGGCCGTCCAGGAAAGCCAGGCTGGATTGACACTGAGACTGAACCCACCAGGTCCAGGAGAGCCCTGGGGTCACTCCCCGTCCAAGGGCAGAAGAGGAGATGGGAGGTCCCAGCTCTAGCAGTGAGGCAGGAAGAAGGGGTGAAGCCCTCCTTCCTCCACCTCGTGTCCTCTTCAGGCCCTGCAGGGGTGGGTGATGCTGGCACATTGCTGGGGGCACAGAGAGCACCACGTCCCCTACTCAAATGCTCGTCTCTCGCGCAAACGCCTGGCAGACGCTCCCAGAGCGACGTGGAATCTGAGCCCTTTTTGGCCCGGTCAGGTGACACCCAAACTACACCAGGACAGCTACTAGATACAATGGATGCGACGGCAAGAAATCCTCTATTCAGACAAGGAGATGTCAAGACCCCGTGTGGCCGGGCACCGTGAGACTTTAGTGCTGGGCGTTTCTCTGATGACCAGACGACGTGCACTGTGCCGAGGCCCTGCTCACTCAAAAATATTTGAAAGAAGTTTATTCTGAGTCAAATTTGAGGACCATGATCCGGAGCCACTCCCAAGAAGCCTTGAGCAGCTGGACTCGCTGTGGCTGGGTTACAGTTTAGTTTTATACATTTCAGGGAGATAGAGGTTATAGGTAAAGTCATAAACTAACATGTGGGAGGCATACATTGCCTTGGCCCCAAAAGGTGGGAGATCTTGAAGGGAGGGGCTTACAGGTTATAGGTGGGTTTAAAGATTCTTTGACTTGTAATTTGTTAAAGACATGAAGTTTTGTCTAAAGGCTTGGAATGTTTCACTATAAGGAGCTGTTATCAGAGATAAGCCATCAGACATAGATTTGTTGTGTAAATTGAGAACCTGCAGGTTTATCTTGCATACTCTTAAGCTTGTTAATGGATATTAAGGATGTCTCCAAGAAGGGAGGGGGGATGATGAGGCATGTCTGGCCTCCCTCCTTTTGGCAGACAATTATGTTTTAGGATATTCCTTTGGCCACGAGGGGGTCCATTTAGTCAGCCGGTGCGGGTGAGCCTTAACATTTTATTTTAGTTCACAATTTCTCCCTTTTGGCCAAGATCTGACAGAGACAGCATCTATGATCAAACTTTTATTTTGTCCCATCTGTTGCCAGTATGGTGTGGCTACCTGCCCTGGGTCCATTTAGTCCCTCAGTGGGACCATTGTGGTCTAAGGGACTGAAGAGCCAAAATGGGGCCTATAGCCAATTAAATAAGTCAAACAGGACCAGAGGTAGACAGGCACTCATTAATACTCTAAAATATTTTAGATGACATAAGAATAAAATACAAAATATCAAAGGCAAAGCTACAAAACTAATGTACCTATAAGTATTGAGATACTATATTCTTGGGTTTAGTGGTAGACTTGTAGCAAATATAAGCACCATTAACATTTAAGCTAAGAGAATTATAGAGAGTTTTATTGTGTCATAACATTTTAGTCTCTTTAGTAATTTAAACTAAGTTGGCTGATAAATTATTCATTATATTTCTTTTTCTATAAATCCATAACTGATACAAAAATTATACTCAGTAAGTTCTAAGTTATAGGAAGCAGGAAATAAAAACTTTTATGATTGGGAAGGATATCTGCAGAATATGGCCTGAAAAGACAAAGTATTTCCGTCAGTATTCCTTTAGGCTTCTGTGTGTCCCCCCCTCTTTGATCTGGAGGGTCTAAAGTAATTCCATCCCTCGGATTTGGCCCTTGCAATCTGACACACCCTCTCTTCCGTGACATACCCTGGACCTAGAGGGGAGATATTTGAACAGGCCTTTGGCAGATTCCATGGTTCTAAGGTGTCAGAGATCAGGTAAACTTGTTATTTACATAAAATTTGTCAGGACTCCAGAAAACAAAATAAAATAATTAGTAATGCTTTAAATAAAGAGTCTTTGTGAAAATTTAGTTTGGTCTTATGAGGTTGAGTTAGCTGTACTCATGGTCATATCAGTTTTTTAAATTAAAGTCCTGGAAGTTTGGTTTGTTTTAGTTTAATGGTATATAATCTCCAAAGTTATCAGAAACCAGTATTTAAGTGGATTTCTCAGTCCTTTTCATGACCTTACTCGAAGAAGCCAACTTTGGACTTAGCCAGTAAGAACCATTTTCTGAGATGAATCCAAGTAAAACAATAATTTTTAAAAGATGGTAAAACTTGGACCAGCCATGGTTAGAGATAGTTGACAAACCAAATTGGTTATTTTGTGACATATAGCAATTTATATAACCATAATTATTACTGATAACACATACTAAGACATGTCAATATTTTATAATACTAGAATATATTAATAACATACTTATACAAGCATAGCCCAAAGAAAATTAAGCAGCATTTCATATTTGACAATGTTCCCTGTATGGTTTTGACATATTAAATAAATCTGATATCTGTTTTAGACTTTCAGTGGCCCTAATATATAAAAAGCTAGTTTAAGGTCAAAGGGCTGGATCTAGATTTAAGTTTTGGAAAGGTTGTCAAATATCAAAGACTTAAAACATTTGTTCATATACAATCACAAACGACTATAAAAGAAGGGTCATTTATTTAACCAAGAGAGATAGTCATCAAAAGGTGATAGTCATCAAAAGTCATTCTAAAGGTGATAAAGTTACATGGGTGATCTTAACCCTTTTAAAGTTTAGTTTTTTTGGCTGGGCGCGGTGGCTCACGCCTGTAATCCTAGCAGTCTGGGAGGCCAAGGCGGGCAGATTACTCGAGGTCAGGAGTTCGAAACCAGCCTGAGCAAGAGCGAGACCCCATCTCTACTATAAATGGAAAGAAATTAATTGGCCAAATAATATATAGAGAGAAAATTAGCTGGGCATGGTGGCGCATGCCTGTAGTCCCAACTACTTGGGAGGCTGAAGCAGCAGGATCGCTTGAGCTCAGGAGTTTGAGGTTGCTGTGAGCTAGGCTGACGCCACGGCACTCACTGTAGCCTGGGCAACAAAGCAAGACTGTCTCAAAAAAAATAAAAAAATAAAGTTTAGTTAGTCAAAACCTAATAAAGAGAGTACAGGGATTATCTGATAAAGTATAAAAGCTTTGCTTCTTTTGGGTCAGTTACCAAAATTAAAGAAAAACCTCTGTAGTGATAATTTAAATTAAAAAGGAAACATGTTATAGAATCAAAATGAGTATATTACGTCATTTCATTAAGAGTAAATTAATATTGACAGAAATCTTTCTTTTAGCCCAAATTCCTTAATAAATTCCGTTTCATAAACTTTATCCCAAGCTGCACGCACCATATACTATCTACAAAACATACCTTAAAACTTTGGTTTTGTCCTAACAGTCCCCTTTTCTAAATAACCAGTTATTTGAGGACAAAAAATTCCATGCAAGATCCTTTTTTATATTATTCTTTCCGTTTAACCTTGCTTACCAAAAATATATTTCTATTCATTGCCTTTTTACATCTTTTTCTTACTCACAAGTGGAATTTTGTTTTTATTTTCATTCTAAATTTATTTTGATTCAACCTTTAAATAACCTCCAAATTAGACAAAGTTATATATATTTTAATAAGAACACATTCTGTTTTATAATTTTTGTTATTAAAAAATCTTATTCTTTGGTACACCTTACATATAGAATTACACACATTGACTAGAATTCTTATTTTCAGTAACTTTAAATTTTAGTGAAAGCTAAAAGAGTAGGACGTCATGAATTGTTCATCATAAGACACTTGTCATGAAACATGATTGCAGGTTACTATAAAATTGTAGTCAAACTGATAATTCAAATATATAAATATTTTTAAATGCAGAAATCCTTAATCTTTGAGAGGAGACTCAGTTTCTCAAACAAGTATAAGACCTAATAGACAGACTGAAGTATAAGTTAATAAGGAGTCTGAATCTGTCTTTCTTTCTCCTTCTCCTTCTTTTTACGGTTTATTAAAAGGTGAATAAAAATCTTTTGTTATTCCTATTAATATCATATGACAATCTAGTTTAAAAGAGAGAACCAAATTTTATTGTCTCAGTGTATTAATGATAA